CGATCATCTCAAGCCACTTGATGTAGCGCAAGGCGCACTCAGAGCCAATCAAGAATGAGCTTGCGCCTTGGTCTTGAATGCAGGTGTCCGGCTCGTTTGTCAACCAGCCTCCGGCTCGAACCAACACTTCACCTTCCACATAGGCGTCTTCGACGTCGTAGAAGATGTCTTCGTCCGCAGTGACCTCGCCCTCATCCACGTCGTCGGGATTGTGCTCGATGTTCATGACCATGCTGATCATGGGGTCCTCGAGGTCGATCACTCGTCTCTTCGGAGAGGATCCGCCTGTCTGCTGGACGGAGGCAGTTGGCTGCAAAGTGTCCGGTTTTGCCACATCGGAGGCAGGTGAGAGCTGCCTTGGCTCGATTCTTGCCAGTTGGACCTTTTGAGGATCCTTTGGAACCACTGTTCTTGCCCTTAGACTTGTTCTTGGCCTTTCCACCTTTTGCCGAGCCCTTTGGGTTTTGAGCGACTAGTGGGGCTTGACCTTTTCCATCAACAACTGCCACTACTGGGTGGAATCCTCGGCTTTGGCGAAGTTGGTTGAGCCTTTGTTTGGCATCAATGTAGGTGGAGTAGACCTCATCGAACTCCTCTGTGTCACAGATGTTCTCGGTGTCGTCGATGGTCTCCTCATAGAATGTACCATCAGGGAGTTCGGGCTCAAACCATTCATCAGGTTCCTGGAGGTCGCCTTCCTCATCCGCGTCCATGTAGTAGGACTCCTCAGCCTCGTAGAACTCTTCAGCTTCGTCATCCCAGGCCATGTGAATGCCTTGGGGTTTCTTCCATCGAAGTTGCTGCTGCTGTCGGCGGAGGTGATGAGGAACATGAACCTGTTGGTAATCCTGTCCGAACAACAGGAAGAGGGACTGCTCAACTGCGCCCAAGGTCAGGACCGACCCGATCTGGGTCTGCACCATTTGCTCTTGTTCACGTGTCAGATCTGCTCGTTTGAGCAGCATCCAGCCTGTGACCTCTTCGGGAAGGTCGACCTTGTGCTTGGTCACCTGGCGCAAACACCTGGTGGAATCGGTGGTGTGCTCGAGGAGGGTCTGGTGCTGTCGGCGCTTGAGCTTGAAGAAGAATGCCTCGAAGTTGTTCGGCATCTCGACCTTGTCGTCGTAGGACCATTGGCGGTCCAGGCGCTTCAACAAAATGTTGAGGCCTTCCTGGGACTCCAGCTCCTTCAGATTCAGGTCTTCACATTGAGTCCAGCTGGAGCCTTCCAAGGTCGACAGCACGTTCAGTGCCACTTCGGTCTTTCGACCTTGGATTTCCAACTTCCGGGCGTAGAGAAGGACCCGGCGCCGCCACTCCTTGTGGGAGGTCGTGGTGTTCTCGAAGCGCGGCACGAAGTTGTCCTTCAGGTCTCGGCTTCCGCCAGCGCCATTGGCTTGTCCAGCTGCTGCTGCGAAGGATGGGTTTTCCCTTCGCGAGGGAGAGCGTCCAGCCATCAGCGCGCGGGAGCCGTCACTTTGGACGGCTCCGCTACCAATGTAAAGGTATGGAGTGAATACCTATCACGTGTGACCGCTCGAAGTGTCAACGTGGAATGCGAAAGCTGCATGCGACTCTTTTGCGTAGCAAGCGTGAATGCTCAAGGGGCCCCTGTGGGCCAAGTTCATGAACCAACGAGTAGCGGGCGGCATATATGGAAACCGCTCATGCCAAAAGTTCTGTCTCTTATCCTTTTGGGTGGCACCCAAATCACATATAGAATATCGATTGACCATTAATTTAAAGGATTGAATTTTAACTATACCGATTCTATTCCGTTACCAAGATCACAAAATATTCTTCAAAACTTATTTCTCCAATGGCATCAACAAAATCCTTTTATGTATGCATCATTTGTAATTCAGTGTTTTTTTATAATTTGAATATTTTCTTAATTTAGATATTAAAAATAACATATTCATTTCATAATTCCCGTTCCGAAATTTTTCTCCCAATATTTAGTCGCAATCGTGGATTTAATATAATATAAATCAAATATAAAATCATTATTATTTTGTATCATTTTGACGAAGAAACCTAATCCGAATATTACCGTATTATCTTTATTAAATTCGAATATAATTAAACTAATAGAGGATGTCTATTGCCCTAAGCATTACATCAATATCAAACCCATGCAAAAAATAAAAATGCATATTTTTACAAACCATTAAAATATCATTTTATCAAAGAAATTTCATTAAAATATTTCAATAAAATCAAATAATGCAATAAATATATCCATATCATAAAACCCAATATAATTCAAAATATTTTTAATTATCAATATAATAAAACAATAAAATGTACAATAAATATCTATATATTCAAAAATATATATTTTAATTTTATAATAAAATACATATTTTATATATATATATAATATATTAAAAATATAAAAAAAATCATCAAACAATCAATAAAACAAATAAATATTATTAAATACATTTAAATAATTATCAATAAATAAATTCTAAAATAATTTAAATATAAATTAAATATAAATAATAAACATTTAAATAAAAACAAATTATATATCAATATATTATATATAATTAATTTATATATATATTTTTTTTAAATTGTAAATATTTAATATATAAATTAATATATATATATATAATCTATATTAAAGAACATCATATGTTATATATTATATATATAATGATATAAATTTAGTTCCCCCAATATCCACGCTCCAAAACGCGCACGGCCACACATGTAGCAACGCAACCAATACCCAGACTCTTAATCGCTCACATGCACCTCTTCGTATGCTTGAAATAAAAATTCCAATAGCTCTCGATATCTAGGGAATTTGAATTCCAATCGCTTGTGCTAATTATCTGAGGAAAAACGGAATGACCTATTCATAAATCACGAATATATATTGCGTCGATGAGGCTGCACTCTCAATTTTTGCAAAGAAGCTAGCGAGGATATAGACGTCCTATTCAAACACTCATAAATATGCAAACAACACAACATAAAAAATCCAAATTTCGAGAAACAATTACATGCTTTCCTTTGTTTGTGTTGTCGCGGTCCGTCCTGTGCTCCATCGAACAAAAGAGTCCCCGGGGGAATTCGAACCACAACGTCACCCAATCCTCTACTGGTGCGTAGCTCGAAATTTTACCGAAATTTAAACCTCCAAATTTCCAAGATATTTCTATTCAAAAGTTCCAACATCCTGAAGAATTTCGGGAACAATTATCATATTTTGAGTCTGCGATCCTTTTGATTTTCTGTTACCTTTGTACCGAAGCCCGGCACACGATTTTAAACGGTCATGTGGTGTTTGTTTTATATAATATTATACATTATTATAGCTATATATTTTTTGCTTCCGCTGATTTCATGGATGGCTCTTTTGACCATCGACAACGACAATTATTCCCGAATAAGGAATTTCAGGTCTTGTCCTTCGCAAGATTCATTGGGCAATTATAGGTCTTAATTATACAATTCGTCAATTCGTTGATATCAAACGAATCAATGCAAAATGAACATAGCATAACATAGCAAAGTGACACTCAAAGTGATATATTCTGATACCTACAGCTGTCGGGCCTCTTTTTTTCCGCAAGTTGCCGTCTAGTCGGCACATGAAAGTACAGCCTACAGCTATTAATGAGTTTACGAGATCAACATCAATGTTTACAGTTTACAGGTGAAAGGAAAGAGTCAGCGAAGCTACCCTTCGACCCCGAACATAATTCCTCAAAAACCAGGAGTTTGTAAATGTAATGCCACTTGCTACGAAGGAGGCGTCTCAGCACTGGTAATATAAGGTGACTTGCATTTCTGTATCTCCAAATCATATCTCGTAGCACCTTTAACTCTTCTTCAGAGCTCTCAAGTCAATGAAACTAAGGAAATTTTGCAACATCGCCTGGCTACAGAAGCGGAAGACTGTATTTCTTTCGCACAGTTGATCTGATGACCTCATTGCTTGGACGGAGCCTCTCTATTGGCCATGTTTGCAATGACCTGCCAACTTGCTGATTCTTCTCTTGAATTGCAACATGATGCAAAGAAAACGGCCCCACAAACTCTTCACATGAAAACCACACCAAACATGTCCCTGCCATGTGTAGGAGGATTAGAAGTACCACTGGAAACGGATCAAAAATTTCACGGCCTGCAAGAGTTGTCTTTGTGTTGATGAAGAGGGCACTACCTCCACAAACGGAGGCAATGAAACAAAACATCTAGAAGACCATTAATGAACTTGATTTAGGCAACCTCGCACAAAATGAGCATGCCGGCCAAAATTGCCAACAACTCAGGTGAACAGGCTACTTTCATCCCCTCAAATACGATCAGTACAGCCTTGCGCTGCCGCATCTCTGCTAGGACCTCTGGCTTTGGCAAACCAAAACCACACTGCACTTTGACTCATGTCTCGCAAAGCAACGATGTGTCAAAACGCGCAACACAGAAAAAACACCGAACAGTTTGACGAAGCTAGCGCAAAGCGTGCATACAACAGGTTTTGATTCCCATAGTATGTTTTTTAAATTTGGTCGTGGTCCCAGCCGTTAGAAAGACCTTTCCAAAAAAAATCAACATAATAAACCGCTTACGTGGAGCCAAGTGTAGGACATACCTGAAATCATCCAGGAAACCAGTCATGCACACACACACATATACACACATACATGCATGCATGCATGCGTGCATGCATGCATCTATCCATCCAGCCAGCCATCCAAACATTACATTACATTGCAATGCATTGCATCACATCACTTTACAGCAATACATACATACATACATGGCTCAAGCCATTTCCACCTCAAGCGGGCAGCCCACGAAGTCCCGCCAGTGTGGAAAGCCCAAATCGCTACAGGTGCAAGGAGTACCTGAACGAGCACGGCCCAAGGAGATCCTGAACTAGAATACACTCTTTGCTAGCTATCCAGGACCTCTCCTTCCACGCTTCTGTACTCACCTTTGGCACCTGGCAGTGCTCGCCTGGCCATCTCATCGAGTTCCACGACAGCACTGGGGCTACAACTCCGCAGAGATCTAGAGCCAGAACGAGGTTGGTGATCTGATCCACAAACAACCTCTTGCACTTTGACAGCGATTGAGACCAACCACGCCAGGGACATGACTTCCTCTTGGGGACGAGCATACATGGTATGCAACAAAAGTTCCTGCGCCAACTGGATTTGGTCAGACAAGCTACGCAGTGGTACGACATGTCGTAAATGCGGCACCTGGTGGCCAGAGATCTCCTACCACAATGGAAAGGGCAAGGGCTATGGACGACCCATAAGCAAGAACCTTGCCAACCAGCAATGGCTCGAGGCCCCACCAGGCCTATCAAGGATCAAGCCTCTGAAACGCACCAAGGTACAACAGGAAGCTACTGAGCTATTGTCTACGAGCTGGTACCGGAGGAGACCCAATCCAAACTACAGGCGCTTGGAATAGGACCTGCCAAGCCAGAAGAACCAGAGTTGAAGGACCTGCTCAAAACCCATCTTGATGCATTCCCTTGACAGGTACAGGAGGTAGTGTCCAAGCTGACCAAGGTTGAACCTATTACCGAACGTGAGATTGCAGCAAGACTCAAGGGTGACCTCAAGAACATGTCAATTCGCAAAACGCAGCTGCAGGCCAAGATTGATGCAGTGAAGTCCCAGTACACCTCACTTCTCAATGACATGCAAGAACTGCAAGGCAAGCTGGCTGAAGGGCAAAAGTCACTCCACAAGTTGTCTGAAGACTACATGAAGGCGGTGAATCAAACACCCACTCCAGCTGAGCTCTCAGAACCAGCCGGTGAAACCGAGCAGATTCCCATGGCAGTTGAATCTTTTGTGCACAGCCTAGGCATCTCGTTGACTGAGGAACAAAAAACTCAGTTGCATGGGCTTCTCAAGCGACCCAGCCAAGACAGCGACGATGCCATCAAGAGACGCAAAACAGAGACAACCCCTGTGGCACTTCCAGGACATTGTGGGTAACAGTACCTACTTTGATGCACATCAGGGGTGGACCATACCTGTACCAGACGATGACATGATGTCATGGCCTGACAGCTCAAGTCCAACAATTTTGCTTTCTGAAGAAAGGGGGAATCCTTTTGAAGATGCATCACCAGCCTCGGCAGCAACACCAAATTGGGTTTGCCGCGCTGCTCCAGGCTCAAAGAAGGCCAAGTTTACCCAGGACAAAATGAGGTTGATGTTGCAAACATCACCTCCTTTGGACGTCACACACTTGATTGGTACTGGAGACGCGACAATGAACTGTACGTCTTCGTTGAAACCCATCTCGACAGCCAGAAACACCACTCCATGCGCCAGTACTTCGAGGTGGGAGGTCGACATGCTTTCGGCTATCCAGCCCACAGCAATCCAGACAAAGAAGGAAACCACGGAGGCATCCTGATCCTCTACGACACTGCGCATGGGCTCTCCAAGGTTGAGAACTACGACATTGAAGGACGCGGTTACCAAGCCTTTCTCTGGGAAGCCAAAGCAAGATCCGTTCTGGTCGTTGCGGTCTATTTCAAGACCAATGAGAATTTGCAAGGGCCAACCAACTCAAAACTTCTGCCGAGGATCCTGGCTCTCGTTGATGCCACCAACAGGCCATACATCTTGGTTGGGGACTGGAACAATCATCCCGACCTGTTTCAGCAAACCGTACTCAGCTCAAAGTTCCACTGGCAAATCCTGGCTCCTGATGCCACCTTGCTCAATGGAAACACGGTGGACTACGCCATCATGCACCAAAACCTGGCCCCACTTGCCTCTATGACTACAGAGTGGGCAGTACCATGGCGACCACACTGCCTGCTCACCTATGCCTTCGAGCTTGATGATGACCTCAGGAGGTACCACCAGCTACGCAGCTTTCCTCCACTGCCCAATGTGCCGGACATTGGGTTGCGAGCATGGAGCACCTATGTCTCACAAGTTGAAGACATACTGCTCTACGACACTGAGCCAAACAAAGGAGCCAGAGGCATTGCTGATTGGGTCTCAATCACTGAACCATATCTACTCCAACAACACCCATGGGCACCACAAGGCAGAGCTGCCAATCTCGCTGTCCAGCACCAACCACTTGTTCCTGCCAAGTCCGGCGGTCTATGGAAGAAGGGCAAACCAGCATACTGGGAACAGTTGCAAGCAAGGCTCAACATTATCCAGCATCAGCCCAACCAAGCGAAAGGAGCCACCAGAGGTTTCCTCAAGGCTATCCAAGATGCACCACATCATTGGACCGGGGATCCAACATGGGCCAACACTGGCAACAACACAAGGATCCAAGAACCCTGGAGCTGATGACACATACAATTCAACACCAACTTGAAGCTGCACAGGCACAAAGTCGAGATGAAACACACCTCCAGTACACCAAATGGATCCAACAAGGCGAGGCAAAAGGCCTTAAAGGGCTTTTCCGGCCCTTAAAAGCCAGTGAACTTTCATGGCAAAGGCCGTGCAGAGACATCCCTGTTGCAGATCGTATGAGACACCGACTCCACACATGGCAGGAACTATGGCGGCCCACAGAGGACAACCAGGTCATGAACCGACCGTCCATCCTGAAAGAAGCCAAAGACCATGCGGCCACACTCCCACCCTTGACCTTCGGTCATCTGGGTAAGACACTCAAAAAGCTTCCAGACGGAGCCTGCGGACCAGATGCCATCACCACCCAACTCCTCCGCACGGCACCCAAACAGGCTTTGACCAGCCTGCTAAAGCTACTCCAGGACATGGAGGCCAAAGCAGAACTCCCAACCCAACTAAAGAATGAAAAAGTTGAGAGACCAATTACGCTGACAAGCGTCCTGTACCGCACTTGGTGCCGTTTGAGGAAAGGTCTCATGGATGAGTGGCAAAACACGTCGCCGAAGGAGATGGACTACGACAGAGCCAGACCGGGAGCCACTGCCCTACACGTGGCACTCGAACGACTCCTGAGACAAGAAAGCGCCAAAGCCCTGGACATCCATGGCATCACGGTACTCCTGGACATGAGCACGTTCTATGACAGGAAACCGCCATGAGCCTGCACTACCCACCTTGGCCCTCAAGTTTGCCATGCAGATCTACACGGGCCCCAAGACAGTTCTGGCTGAAGCTGAGCTCAGCACCTGGTTCCACAGCGCCACTGGGGTTGGAGCAGGTTGCCCACAGGCACCCTGCTGGCCAAAGCCTTTTTGCAGCCCATCCTGGCGCCCTTCCAGACCTGACACTCAACGGCTGGGTAGATGACATAGGGTTTGATGGGAGCCACAACGATGCAGACATACTCGCCGCAAACGTTGTCACGGCTTGGCACGAGTTGCGGGACCAGCTCAAAGCAGCAGGGCTCAGGGTCAACAACAACAAGACAGCCTTCATTGTCACAGACAAAACGACACAGCTGGCGCTCGCCAAGCGACTGGCACCAGATGACCCGCCCATACAAACAGTCATGAGGGATCTTGGCATCGACCACTCGGCAGGGAGGAGACGGCGCATAGCGACCTTGAAACAACGGTTCAACAAGAACAAGCAGCGCCGGATCAAACTCCGATCTCTCAAACTGCCAAACCTCAAGAACAGGCTCAGGCTCCACCGAGGAGGTGTACAACCTGTGGCAATGTGGGGATTTGAAGGACAAGGTTTAGCACCAAGGTATCGACAAGGTCTCTGGCAACACACCTCGGGCTACATCAAGGTGGGCAGCCGGATGTGATCTATGACCAACACAGCAGCAAATATCTAGATCCAGGCGATCAGATCGTCATCCAGCACATCCACGCTCTTCATCAACTGGTGCACCAGTGGCCCCAGGACCATAGGCCGCACATTGAATCAGCCTGGATCCAACTCCGCAACAAGCTCAGCAAACAACAACATCCATGGTACCATGTCAGTATGGCCGCCACTTTGACGTATCTACAAGAGTGGGGATGGACAACACACAGCCTGTACCAGTGGACAAGGTATGAAACAGCCTTCACGACGGAAGCGCACATCAACCTGCTCAATGATTGGCTCATCATTGAAGCCACCCTCTTCCAAGAGCTCCAGCAGCAACGAACCAGCAGATTTGCAGGGAAGAAGAACTGCCAAAGTCTGGTCAGTGGTTTGGATTGGGAAGTCGCCAAAAAGGCCAGCAAGAAACTCTCCGCCATCCAAGGCAAACATGTCAAAACATGGAATCAAGCCGCCATCCATTATAAGCAGAAAAAGCGGATCAAACAATGTCCGCTTTGCCAAGCGCCGGCTACACCCAAGCACATCATTTGGATGTGCACTTGGCACCGCAACCAAGGCCATGAGCCCTTACCCATACCATGGACAGAGAGGCTGCAAGATCCACTCGAAGGACAGTTGTGGAGCTACGGTTGGATACCAAAAGAACCACAAGAACACCTGAGCCAACCTTTGCCGCTCCAAGGCCACGGCTGCTGGCAAACCTTGGAACCTCTTGCACTCCAACCATGGCAAGGTTTGGCCGTGACCCATAGTTGCCACGCCCTCCTCCTATGACAAAAGAGCTCAGGCCTGGGTGTTCGGCCTCTGCATACACACCTTCTCACTTGGAGCACTTGTCAGGAAGGGCACCATAACTGGAATGCCGACTGGACCGCAGACCAAAGCCCGGGCCCTGTTTCAGGGACTGCTCACCTTGGCCCAGTTTGCGCTCACTCCCGTGAATGTCATAGTACAACTTGGCTCCGTATGGGAAGCATGGACCAACCCAAAGAAAAGAAAAGGCTTCCTCGACCTAATCCATGGGTTTCCCAATGAGCTTTTCAGCCGCATCACGCCTCTGCACATCCATCGCAATCAGAGGACCCCAGATGCACCAGGCAGTGAACCACATCTACGACAACGACAACGGGATGCCGCGTTGGCTGCCTACGAACGAGCCAACACCATCTATGACCCTCAAGCGGAAGCATGGCAGAGGACACTTGACCAGGACCATTTCCATGTGTACCAGCACGCAGCCAGGCTTGAGAAGATCTTCAAAGATCCACAGCACTACATCCATGAGAAACCAGTCCGGAGAGCTGGTCACAAAAAGCGGCTCATTCAACAATGCCGGAATGCCTGGAAGCAAGGCCAGCACCAATGGAAGCCTCACCGCAGTGGATACCAGTGCCACACTTGCCAAATCAGAGTCCATCAAGGCCTGACCACTGAAATCACCGAGCAGCGTCTCCATGAAGCCTGCGAACTCCTTGAACATGAAGCAGCAGAGCCAGACCTTCCGGCTAACAGGGCTTTTGGGAAAAAGACAACCAGGCTGGCATTATTGCGGCTGATGAACATGCATACCAGGAGGCCACCGGCTACCTGAAATGCAGCAAATGCAGCCTCTCGGTCCACAAACGAGCCAACGAAGGCATTTTCACAGCCTTCATTCACAGCCGCTGCATCGATGAGGCCTACAATAAACCCCACGATGCCCATGCCACACACCAACTTTGGCAAAAGGGAAAAGGGATCAAGTGCTCCAAGTGTGGCATACAAAGCCATTTGGATCAAGCCGACCGGGTCATTTTGACCAAAAGCCTCAAGAAGGAGTGCCGAGGCCAGACACAAGCCTCCCCAACCCTGGTGCAGCTCTTCAACAGCCAACACCGCACCAGTCAGCCTTCCACCGGCCATGAAACCCAGCCGGCATCGTTGACTCCACCTCAGCTGACAGCACCAGAGGCAGGACCCTCACCACCAGCTCTCAAGAAGCTCAAATTCACGAGCCCCAGCTCACCTGAACACGAACAAGAGGACGGGAGCGAAGGAGGAGAGGAGAGCCAAGAGTATGACCCAGTCAACGTGGACTTCTTCTGACGGGTCTGAACCGGCAAGAACAGACTGCCCGAAAAGGGCACAGAGCCTGAAACTTTAGAAGAAAAAGACATACATACATACATACATACATACATACGTACATACGTACATACCTACATACATGCATGCATGCATACATACATACATTACATACATTACATACATTACATACATAACTTACCTTACCTTACATTACAGTACATTACATTACATTACATACTTACATGCACGATCAACATTCATTCATGATGGAATGGCCGTTCTTCCCGGAAAAAATATCTTTGCGAACATAAGATCTTGAGCAAATCTTTGGCGGCCTCATCGCGAAGAATGGTCCTAAAACCACGTCTAGCAAACATGTGTTGGAAGATGTTGGAAGTATGTATCGACAAATAGTGGCTGACATCTTGCAGCGTGACCTACACACAAGGTTGAGAGTCAGGATCACTTGCGGCATCTGTGCGACAAGGAGGCTTATAGAGTAGAACTCAATCCAACGACATACGTACAACCATACATCCATGCATACATCATACATCCAGACTCAAACATCTGTGCGTACATATTTTAACACGTACGTACATACATACCATTACCATACATTACCTTGTGATACCTTACATTACATTGTTACATACACTACATCTTAGTCAGTCAAAAAATATCCCAACCAGCCCGTCCTGCTGTGCAAGAGGAGCTGGCGCGGCACAACCCTGCAATTCAAAGCTCCACAAGTAGCAATCAATTGTTATGCTAGCCATGTGGCCAGCAGGAATGACAAGTGTTTGTTTAAGAGTTTAAGGCTAAGGCATTGGAATTAGAATGAGACGCTGCTGTCGGTCTTCTTCAAGCTTGCGATACTCGCCACGAAGAGCACAATGACACAATGGCTCACACAGCACATCAGCCTGGCAGGCTTCAAAAAGCGTGTGTAGTACCTGGCTCAGAAAAGCCTTGTCCTCAGGAAACCAGCAACATCCGGCAACATCAATGGAGACGTATATGGTCAAAGGAAGAAGAGTGTTTAAATACAGGGGTCTAGCATTACAGATTCTGGCAGAGTTGCTTTGAAACTACCCCCACACTGCCGCAAGGCCCAACTACGAAGCAACTTAAGAGGCTTCACACACAGAATATATATTATAGTTCATATATTAGGTATATTACAAAATATTATCATTGTACATGTATTATATATAGGCGGCAATTTGCAATGTCCACCCGTTGAGGCTTGAAACACGGCTCTCTCAGCTTGCTGCACATGATTCAGCGACCTGGCGAGGAATCAACGACCTAGCCTACGCTCGCGGTCTTTCTAAAGACCGGGGGGCAGGCCGCTAGTAGAGGTAGCTTAGCGCTAGAGGTAGGTAGCTAGTAGCTGTATAGAAGTAAGCTACTAACTACTGGACGCAGGATAGCTCACGCTCAGGATAGCTCACGCTTCTTCAAGGAAGCTCTCGCACTAATGATTTGGTTTCTAGATGTTTAGGGAAACTTAACTTAATTTGACTTATGAAGAATGACACATAATGACAAAGATTTGTTCGGATGCTTCGCCGCTGCATCTCTTTCACAAAGGGGGAAAGAAGGGAACGAATCGAATCCTGTTGGCTCTCATATGCTCTCATGAAGGTACATACTGTACATGAACATGATGTGAGACCACTTGAATTTGTACCAGCAACTCTGTGGCAGCCACGGCCAGTTGGAATCTCTTGCCTTCCGGACAAGGGCCAAAGCTTTGTGGATGTGATCTTCCTGGGCATCACTATGATGCCGTTCAGAACTTTTGTCCGAGTCTTTCGGACTGGGATGCGAGCTGGTTTGTGAACTGAAGTAATAGAAACATCTAGACAATACACACACAAACATGCAAAGACTGTTACAATGACTAGCAGAATGAGTCTTGTTTCTGGCCAGTGTCCTGGACGGAGGCCAACCCATGATGGTTGACTTGTCATGGCTTGACTGAACAATTCGCACCCATTTGAACTACAAAGTTACCTCCATGTGTTATATAAAGGACGTTTTAGGAGAGCCGTTTGAGCAGGACCCTCTCAGCGCAGGACCCGACACTTAGCCACCCCCTTGACCAAAATCGAGCATGTGAACCTAGCAGCAATTGTTTTGAAAAGCAAAGCACGACTATGAACTATTAAACTGTGTGCGTGGCAAATCCCAAATCTCAGTAGTCTTGAAAGCGATCAAAGTCAAACATTAACGTCGCGCAGCACACTGCCTATCGGGCTTCAAGCCATAGGAAAGCTCCATGTCATCAAGGACGTGCCACCTGAAGCTTTTGAGACTTGCAAGCAACCTCCGTTTGTAACAGAACACCCAAGGCTGTCACGCATAGGCACAGTCACCTGAACGTACGGCTGCGTCCTCAGAGGCTTTAGCTGGTTTTAGTCTCCAAGACAAGTGGCATGATAGAGAGACTTCAAACAAAAACAATCTTTATCTACCGGCAAATTCAATGTGTGCGGGCATGGGGAGGTCATGTTACTTCGGCAGCTGCTTGCTGGCTGCCAGCTTAGGATCAACATAATGTCCAGGCCGTCACTGTTGGCTGTCCCGCATGTAAACTTGAAGTGTCTCTACCCATTCAAGCGCCCTGCGCTGGGAAAACATCTTGATCCTCGAATAAATGATAAGAATGGCGTTTAACATCACTACGGGTTAGGTCATGCCATTTATGGCCCATTGCTCGAACCTGTGCCACTTAAGCTCTCTGCCATAATGGTATTGAAAGTGATCGCATTGGGCCTTGATCACATGATATCACAAGTCCACAGAGCCACGAGCTAATGCACATATAATATGTGCGCGTGTTGTATCATTTTGGCGTTTCCCTTGAAGTGGCTAGTGTCCTGCAGTATTCCACAAGCAGCCGAAGCCGGTGCAATGGTTAAGGCATCTTAATGGATGATCAAGGTTCCCACCTCAATCCTCGTCGCAACAAAGACTGGAACGCCTGGCAATTCTCAATTTGTGCAACAGCCCAGTGGTTGTGTTGCTGACTGTACAGAACGAGTCATATTGATTTTGTTGAAACATGCCTCTGCTGGACTTCTACTTGCTGAGGGGGCCTGCTCAGCCTTGGCCAGGTTGCTGCGTAGGGCATAGCCTTTGATCAGGGTGTTGTACCTCTGGGCCGGAGAAATCGGAGAAATCGTGCTTGGTCATCTAGCCGCATCTCTTCACTGATCCATGGGTTGTCAATTAGTTGGTTTGCAGCCATCTCCTTCCTGTTTCATGGTTCGTCTGCAGTGCAGAGTGTCTACCAGAACTGCTCTATGGCAGTCTGAGGGGCCAACGACACGATGTCCACACTTGAGGCCTGCTGACAGGGTTTGATTCAAACCCTTCAAGATGCAAACGTTCAAAATTGTCTAGGATACCCTAGGATAAGGACATCCTTCAACCAGGAACAGTCTGCCTTCAACCAGGCTTCGGCAATCTGGTTTGTTCTCGTCAAGAAGCACAAAGTCGATCTCCCTCTCTCTCTCTCTCTATGGAGTGTAGTGAACTTCAACATGGATGGTCCTATTCATTCGGGGTTCATATGGATGGTTTTGGGTGACAGAGTGCTTTCGGTCGGTTGGTCCAAGTGAATTTGGAACTCAGCTTTGCAGGTCAGGTGCCAAGTGTTCAGACCCGTGTCACAGATGCTCATACAATCTCACACAAGTGGTCTTTGAAGAGGAAGAGGTTTCATCTGTGTCATTCGTGTACAGTAGACATGATGGCTGAGCGGCTGAGCCTGGACTTGTCTCATTTAGGCAAGCAGTGAGCGCTTTTCCGTACTTGGCAACACAGTATCTACTGACTCTACTGTAATTTCACCGTTGATATCACTTCTGACTCTGTAAGTCAAAGGGTGACCACGACGACAATAAGGCCTCGTTGACCAACGCTTCCACTGCCTGAAGGCACAGCACTTGACGTTCTGTCAGCTTCTATTGTGAGAACTACACGGAACAGGCGCAAGGTCGACGTTCGGTTCGGTGGTTGAGCATTTTTCTGCGCCTCCAAGTGATCTGCCATCACGCCAGTGCTCAACGCCACGTTTAAAGCCAAAGTATCCACCGCCACTCCTCGACCTTGCAACGCTTCTCTTCGCGATGTTGCAATGTGTTGCCAAAACTGGTCTCTTCTGCCTCTCTTGGGTTCTTTTGCTCACCATCAGGATGCAAAGGCCCACGCATTTCATATCGTTAATGGTACTCATGGCCGAGGGCCAATCCTGCACGCACTCATAGCAAAACATGGACACCATTGTCTGGTTTTTGCCGCCCGCCTGTCGTAGACTGTGAACTCTCAATACAGTCATGTACCTCCGGCATCCAATCCACAGAAAGCAAACAAACTAAGCCAGGATAGTTGCCTTTTTCAACGGATTCAGGAAAATGGTCCAACTGAAGAGCTGGGTTGTTGATTGGTCGCACGCTCGAATCGATGGAGTGGACACCGAGGAGAGGACTCAGTTAAAGTGGCTTCAAGCTCAGACTCGGATGACTCGGACATTTGTTCAATTTGTTTGGGCTTTCAGGGCTCCGGCTCTCGAAAAAGCTGACTGCTCTTCTTAATTCGCCAACCTGCAAACGTATAAACTTCCAATACAATTAAATGAACACAGGCATTCGCTGCAGGCGGAAGATGGTCATCATTTGGCTAGCACTCACGCTGATAAAGATTTCCGGACAGCATGTTCAACAAGTGCGGTTTTATTATGTTTTATTACTAGTTCCGTAGAACCTCGAGTCAACCAAAAAGGGCATCTTTGTTCGGAATTCTATCGAATTGTTACAGTAAATCAATGATCAGTAAATTAAGAAGAAAAGGATGAACGAGACGCTGATGAGTCTTGCAACGCCATCCAAGAACCTTGTCTTATGAACCCGAACTCAACAGACAGAGCCAAAATCCTTGAAAAATTAAAAAACAAAAAATAATCAACAAATAAACAAACAGAAAAAACAAATCCATACTCAGGAGAACAGGTCTACTCAGGACAGACTCAAAAACAAAACAAAACAAGACTCAAATAGGGTGGGCTGGAACCTGCCTTTTCCCTTCAGAAAAAAAACAAATCCAGACTCAAATCCAGACTCAAACCCAGACTGACTCAAATCC